AAAAAAAAAAAAAAAAAGAATTTACATAACCCCTCCTTTCCCATGCCTCTTGTCCTGATCATTTATCCAGTGAGCAGCCTAAAAACGATCAATCCCTTTCTGGAGACAGCTGCCTTGACTGATCCAACTGCCTTACTAAGGTGTGTGCAGAAGGAGAAAGGTGAGGGAAGTGGAGTCAGGTTGTCAATCCATTGTTGCAAACTGCAACTAATCTGAAAGGCAGAACACAATCAACAGCAGTGAGATGTCACCCTACCCCAGAGGGGTTGCAGAGCCTGCTCAGTCACAGGTGGGCGGAGGGGGCACATTCCCCCAACTTGCAGCTTTCCTAGGAATCATGAGTTAGGACTGCAATCAGGTTCTCCATCAGAACTACAGCGCCCATCCACAGCTCGTTTCACATGGTCCTTTTCGGGAACAAGCTCTTACCCTAGGGCATCTGCAAATGGCTCAGCTGGGTCAGCCAGCATCCACGTTTTCAGAGCTAGGCCCCGGCAGAAGCATACCATAAATTTCCCGCAGTCCCTGTGTCCTAAGTCCTGTTCAGTGAGTCTCTGCTTGCTTTCAGGTCAGGGCTGCGGCTGCCCAGCAGCAGCTGATACTGAGACAGCCCGCAGCAAGCAGTATCAGGTTCCAGCGTGGAGTCAGGGCCAGGCAGTTGTGAATTCAGTAGACTCAAAATGCCCGCAGCTCTTCCTCAGCAGCAGCAAAGCCGAGACACTGCAGGGCCAGACACCTGTGTTCCAAGACCAAGTGACAAGAAAGCCTTTCCCAAGCACTTTTCACCTTGTCAGTCTTAGGGTCCAAATGGACCCATGCAAAAATATACTCATCAGGCCAGAAAATCATCAGCTCCTACGGGTTAGAAATCTGATTTTACAAGAGCTCATTTGCAAAACGAAAACTACGTTCTCAAATTCCCAAAGTGTACCTTCATCTGGAGGCTGGTTCCCTATTTCCAGAGACTCCAATAAGCAAAATCAGCAAAAAAATCAATCATCAGTTACAGAGACTTGTGTCCACTACTGAGTTAATTTTTAAATTTTTTTATGTTTTAATTTATCTTTATTGTTGAAAGCATTACAGATGTCCCCCTTTTCCTCCCATTGACACATCTGTAACAAAAAAAATAAGGGATCTATGTCCCATTAACATGTTTTGTTTTTTTTTCCTTTGCAGTTTTCCCTGGTTGAGATGACCTCTCCAGCATTTATGAACTTAAAAACATATTAATATTTCACATCCATTTTTATCATACATCCAGATGCAATAGCCAGAAAATGCAAAAGCTGTGATTTAAAATTCCTCTTTTGTTCCTCACTACAAGTTTACTCGAAACCACAGCAGTAAAGTCACCATTTACAGAGTTCACATCGCTGCTGCCAGGAGAACCCAGCTAGAGTACGAGAGGCAGCGGAGAGAAGCTGCAGTCGCAGCGAGGCTGAAGAAATGACTAGATTGGTTTTTTGTCTTTCTTTTCCCCTCTGGTTCATCTAAAGCCTTGTTCCAGCCCTGGGAACAGATTTAACCTTTCCCCCTCCCACTTAAAGGAGAGAGCAGCTACAAACTAATTTTTGTGTTCAGATCCTTTCTCCCCCTACCCAGGGAAGGGAGACAGACAGGGAAACAAACAAAGTCATCACCTGGACTGTGGCTGTTTCCCCTCACTTTACCCGGAATGGCCCAAGGCAGCTGGGGACCCAGCCAACTGAATCTGCTAGGGGGTG